TGGTACCGCTCGACCAGGGTACGAGTCGGTACTTGGAAAGTTTGGCGATAAAAGGGTTAATGATGCTGGCAAGCTTATACTGGCGGTGTGCAAGGAAAAGGGTCTTCTTGTGACAAACACTATGTTTAATCACAAGAAAATCCATATGTATACTAGAGAACGAAAGAATGAGAGAAGTATGATCGATTTGTTCCTGGTGGATGACCGACTGCGAAAACAGGTGATGGATACGCGAGTGTTCAGGGGTGCTGACCTGGAAACGGATCACTATCTAGTGATTACTAGATTTAGGGGTCTGTTCGCGGGTTGGCGCTACCGGACGGCAGTAACAGAACCACAGTCGGTCTGTCGCATCCGAAGCTGGAAGCTTCAGGAAGCGGATACTAGGGACAAATATCATGCGAGGGTAGCCGAAAAGCTTGACACCATCGATGGCAGAAAAGAATGTGTAGAAAGAACATGGCAGAACCTTAGGGATGGAATGGTAAGTGCAGCGGAAGAAGTGTGTGGAACAATAAAAAGAGGCAGTAGTAAAAGAAGAGATGCATGGTGGAATGATGAAGTGAAAGAAGCTGTAAAGAAGAAGAAGAAAGCATGGTTAGACTACTTGGCCTCTAGTAATGATAAGGATATGAGAGAGAAGATGAAAGAAAGATATAGGCTGCAGAAAGTTCACACGAAAGCACTGATTGAGGAAGTGCGTGAAAGGTGTAGAATGGAAGCGGACGAAAGGTTGTCGCACAACTTTAAGGAGAACTCCAAACTCTTCTGGAAAGAGGTTGGAAGGGCCCGAAGTGGTGCGACGGCCTTAAGAATGAACAAAGTGCTTTCGAGAACTAATGACGTCCTCACAGAAAAATCGGACGTCATGCAGCGATGGAGCGAATTTTATAGAGAAATGTATGCCTGTGATGATCTTAGTGAGGGATCCGGGGATGACGCCGTGACTGGTACGCCAGACCCGGACCTCGATGACACTGAGGTCATCAGTATGAAAGAGATTGAACGTGCGATTCGAAGTTTGAAATGTGGTAAGGCTGCGGGACTAGACAGAGTTACTGCTGAAATGGTCAAGTATGGTGGGCCTCGCGTCTGGGACAGCTTTCATCTGCTGTGCAATTTGTGCTGGCGGACGGGGGATGTCCCGGATGATTGGCGATCCGCAGTCATTGTACCTTTATATAAAGGTAAAGGTTCACATTTTGACTGCGGGTGCTATCGGGCGATCAGCTTGACCAGTTTAGCAAGTAAAGTTTACTCGAAGGTTTTGACACGTAGGATGCAAGAGAAATCGGAAAGATTTCTATGGGAGGCACAATGCGGATTTAGACCTGGAAGAGGATGCACGGATCAAATGTTTTCTCTCCGCATGATCACGGAGAAGCTTCTGGCTGCTAACCAGAAGATTTTCTGTGCTTTTGTGGATCTTGAGAAAGCATTTAATAAGGTTGTAAGGAAGAAAATGTGGGAACTGTTGCCGGGGTATGGTGTGGATGGTCAATTGCTAAGGGCTGTGCAGTCTCTTTACTGTGACTGTAAAGCCTGTGTGCGGGTAGGGCATGACCTGTCACCCATGTTTAACGTCCAAACGGGCGTAAAGCAGGGTTGTGTCATGTCTTCCTGGCTGTTCGTACTGTATCTCGACAGCTGTTTACAGAAGCTGAAAGATAGTTGTTTGGGTGTGAAATTGGGTGACATTAAAGTAAATTGTCTGCTGTATGCTGATGATGCAGTGCTTATTGCACCATCAGAGGCAGAACTACAGGCATTAGTCACGTGTATGAAAGAGGAATGTGAAATTAAAGGTCTCCGTTTGAATGCTAATAAAACTAAGGTTCTGGTATTTGAAAGGGACGAAGAGAGAACGAAGTGTGAAATATGGGTAAATCAGGAATGTCTAGAACAGGTAAATGAAATTGTATACTTGGGGAGTGCTTTTAGCCAGGATGGAAGATGTGATTTAGATGTGGACAGGCGTGTCGCTGCCGGGAACAAAGTCAATGGTGCCCTGACTGCGTTAGTCAAAAGGCAAGGCGTAGCGAAGAGTGCACGCCTTGCAATACATAACGCAGTGTTGGTACCGACTTTGTTATATGGCAGCGAAACCTGGGTATGCCAGAAGAAGCATAAAAGTAAGTTGAATGCAGTGGAGATGCGATCTCTTCGTAAAATGTGCGGCGTTACCATGGCCGACCGAAAGCGAAACGAAGAGATTCGCAATATGGCAGGTTTGAAAGATGACCTTATCACAAAAATTGATAAGGGCGTGCTTCGGTGGTTTGGGCACGTTGAGCGAATGAGTGAAGACCGAATGGTGAAGAAAATATATAGCGCGAAAGTTAATATTAAAAGGTGTCGAGGTAGACCGAGACTAACTTTCGAAGACCATGTGAGCAAATTGCTCGAAGAGGGTAGGGTCAAAAGTATTCGGATACTTCGACGTGCATGCATGAAGAAGATAATGAATCTGAAAGAAGCGAAAGAGGTTTGTAAGGATCGTGACACTTGGCGATCTGTTCTCTCTGGCTACCCCGTCAGGGATTGTGCGTGAAGATAAGTACACATAACTTTTACGGGCTAATGAAGACAGAAATCTATCTAGTCTATCTTTGTTTGTTGGTATGTAACGACAACAGAAGATAATTATTATTCTTATTATTGTTTGATTCATAAATTTATTACGCATCTTGTAAAATTACTCTACCTTTTAAATATTTAGAATTAAACTATGTACTTGAAATGACGAAGTAATAACCATTATTAAATACCATTTATTTTATCAAATTTTTAGATTAAAAAAAACCCTCGCATTTTTATAAAATATAGTTTAGATCATTTCTAACATTGCTCTCTATCTGTTCATCAAGTTTTATTTCAATCAGTTCAGCAATTCCAAAGATTTGCCTGGACAGACAGACAGATAGACAAAAATTTTAAAAATGGTTAACATTGTCTTAATAGCATGCAAATAACCCCCTCTGCTCAAAAAATACATTTATCTCGATATTACAGACATAAATTTATTCACTTGTATATAGATAATCAAGCTGTTAGTTTTCTATATATAATACATATAAATAGGTTAAATGTAATATAAATAAGTAATAAAACTTGAATTTGTTTCTTACCGTGTCATCAGTCTTGATAGTAGTATTATATGCTACGGTATCCTTGATGAGCTCAGGGCCTCGGGGCACCAGCGCCAGCTGATGTTCTGTCTGTACCTTCAGAGCATCTCGGATATCTTCCTCGGAGGTCTCATTCACGGCTGCTATTAACGCCTAGAGCCAAAGAAAAGCCAATATAAGTTTTAGGTTCGTTTGACTGTTACAAATTTTACACAAAATATTATACGAATTTGCTTTCAATCCCACAAAATCACTTATTGTAAGGGTAAGACTTTAGCTGAGAGTGTATAGTGCAACTGACCAGTTTTCGTTTGTACATGTTAGCCTACAGGTTATAGCTGTAGCACGAATGTTTCAGTTCAACTGACATAGGACTACGCTCACATAGAGTACCATCGTAAAATATGATTCTGATGTGTTACGAATGGTGAGTGACAAGAATCGGATACTTTTTTTATTGGTGACGAGGCATTGTTTGTGGTGTTCTGTGGATAAGCAATTTCTAATACATTATAATTTAAAAGGTAGTAACAAAATTGCCAATCCTAAATTAATATATTTGGATTCGTTTATTCATACGTACATTACAGCCCCTTAGGTAACAATCTATGGGGTAGATCTATGTTCAGCGGTGGACTGCATTGAGTAATGTACTGTTTACAGGAATTATAAGTCTTTCCATATCCAGTAGAAACTACAAGTTCCGAAAAATTTTAATTTACAAATTTATATGTACTTTTATATGTATCTGAAAGTGATCTCGATGTGCGTTCTGACGTAGCAGTTGGAGTACATATGTCACCATCGCTTAAAGGTGCTTGCGGGTGCTTCATGTAATAACTTCATTTAAAGGAAAGTAGACGACTATCTACTTCCCTTTATATATAGTTCAGGAAGTGTAATGGCTGCCACATGCGTCATATTTGTGAATAAATGTGCTTGCGGGGGCTGATCTGTCCGGAGGCGTTTATTTCCTACAAAGTTTTTTTTATAGGATTGGGTGACAAACGAGCACACAGTCCACCTGATGGTAAGTGGTTGCTGTGGCCCATAGATATCTATATCTGTCTTCGTTTGCGAATTAAAATGCAGATGCGTTGTCAGCCGTGAGGATTAAGATGGAATACCTCTTTTCCACTAAAAAGGGTCTCCGGTTTTCTACACTCACCATACGAAACACAGCAGCATTAAGCTGCTATTTGACGCTGGTATTCTGTGAGAGCGTGGTCCTCCCTAGTCATGCCGACACATTCGTGCTACAACTATAATATTAATATAGTCTCTCTACCACGTATAAAATTTCTTTGTCTTATTCATGGATAATGTAATCAGAGTAATTATTTTTTAATATACACTACCACTACTATGTATAATTACACAATATTCATTTTAAATAGCAGAAATTGATTAGGGACCTTTAAAATAACTGAAATTGCCAAGTTATACCACCGTTATTAAAAAAAAACAGAAAGCAAACGAACATAAAAAATAAAAGAAAACAATGTTTTTGTTTTTGTCAACATCATCATCAGTATCGAATATATGGAATAGACAATCTTTTGTTATTCGATCTTAATAAAGTAAAAGTCAGTCCAGTTTTGGAGGTGGAAGTAGAAGGAATAATGATTTTGCCAATTTTCCATACGTATAATCAGTCCAATAGCTTCTGTCGGTTGTCTCGGTATATCTTTAAAAAAATATTCATCAAATTTCTTGTAGCATCGATATTTTCTTAAACTACAAGAATTAAAGTGAATATTGAGTATTCCGTATAAATTAGGTAAATGGCACTGGTTTTAAAAAACAAAAGTTTGCATTGCTTTACTTATTAAAAAATAAACAAAATGTGACAAGAAAAATTTTGGCATAATAATGACACAGCACAAATTGTACAAAAATGCTGCAAATTACTGGGCCAAAGTTCCAGCAACGCTAAATGGCGTTCTTGGCGGTTTTGGTCACATTTCGGACATTGACATAGGTGGCTCTAGAACATTTCTGAATCATTTATTGACACTTCAAGACCCACCAAATACAAATATCGCATTGGACTGCGGAGCAGGTATTGGACGAGTGAGTAAAAATTTACTGATTTCTTATTTTGATAAAGTGGATTTAGTAGAGCAAGATGAAAAATTCATTAACGCTGCAAAAGAAAACATCGGTGAAGACAACGCGAAACTAGGAACAATATATCACCTTAGTCTTCAACATTTCAAACCAGAAAAAATGTATGATTTAATTTGGTGTCAGTGGATTCTTGGATGTTTGAATGATTACGATCTCATAAATTTCTTAATAAGATGTAGCAAGTCCCTCACAACGAATGGCTTAATTATCGTCAAAGAGAACATATCATCGTCGAATGAACTCGATTATGATGAGAAAGATTATTCTGTCACTCGACCTTACGAATTGATGTTAATGTTATTTGATGCAGCTTGTCTTAAAATAGTTAAAACCGATGTACAAGTTGATTTTCCTGATGAAATCTATTCTGTGCATATGTTCGCTTTAAAACCAAAATAGAATAATATTAGATCTCCATTTCTTCGAATATTTGTATAAGGTTGTTAAATTATATTTAACAAAATCTTAATATCTGGCTAAATTTATAACATTTATGGAAGCTGAGTACGATTCAACTAAATTACAGTATATGATATCATCTACTCGTAAATTAAATATTACTGTAATCAGACATGACAGCTTTTATAAAACCTTTGCTTTATAACGGATAACCGTAAGAAATTCTACATCATTCTCATACTGAATGAAGGCTTATCTTTGATGAAGTAGCGAATCGTGGGCAGAATTCGTGATTGCATCGTTTAATAAAGCTGGATCGCCACGGCAGCACTGTGATATTAGCAAGTGCATTCACCGGTTTAAAAGCAGAACTTGCTAAATTCTTGCTTTGGACACAATGTTAAACTATAAGATTTTAAATAAATCAAAAGTAAATGAAAGGCAAAGACAAAATGTTAAAAATTAAGTGATAAAATTGCGCGACATTTGGGGAACTATATTTATCATTCAAACATCATATTCATTACTACAACCTATCGTATCCCAACACTATTATAGAACAACAAAGTTGACATATATCTAAAATGACATGACACTGAAAACAAATCATGGACACAAAGGAACGAAGACAAACGAAGTAAGGCAAACGAACGAAGTAAAGCGAAAAATTATACATGATAATGGACGTGAAATAAGAGCTTATTCGTAATAACAAGAAAGTTCTAATGATTTTCGATCAATAATTAACTAGAAGAACGATCCGATCAGAGAACAGTTAGCGATGAATATCGCACCGTTGTTATTAGAGCCCTGTGCTGTGTTAAGTGTTGTTATTTGTTATGTACAGTTATGTTCGAGTCGTGGAAATAAAGACTTGTCAGTGTCCTATTAATGTTTGTGTCTAAGTTTGTCCTTAATTCAAAGCAAATATTTACAATACACCAGAGCAAAATAAATTTATATATTTTTCCATATTTTAATTATAAAAATAAAAACATGTACATACTTGTTTTCATATATTATGTTGTTTAAATATAACTGTTAACAAATTATCTTAACTGTAAAATATTAATATTTGCACTAGTTAAATTTACTGTTTATATTTTGCTCACGCGTCAATAATTGATACCGTTTTTTGTATAAACTTAGTTACAGTGGAAATTCACACTACAAAATATAAAACCGCAAGTCACGCATAACTGTATATTGGTGGTAATGTCATAAAAAAAGAATAATACGAGTTATCATACAAGTTGATGAGTTATGAAATTATATTTTGGCACTTTGATTTTTAGCTTAAATACGGCAATAAGATTAAATGCGGCAGTTCAATACCATTTTTTTAAGCTATTCATGGTTTAAACAAAATTACAATAAAACTACTTTTATAGATGGTTCTATTCCACAAAGACTATTTAGTATCATTGTTTTATTTTAATTATTTAGAAAAATGTTACGGAAATACCTCTCGATTAAGGTATCCATCATCTATCATTGTTTATCATATAGTGACAGCGTAAGAATGTCCACTACCCCATAATGTCCCGTGGGTATCACAGGAGGCGACAGAGGGAAACTGAAACACAACATGGGTAGCAGCGTCTTCGTGACAACAACTCAAAATAATAAAAACTGCGGTCACCAATTCGCCTACCAAGCTTGGCAGTTATGGCAAAATCTATTTTTAGCAGTGAACTTTTTTAGACTAGAAAGTATTTTGTTGTTTGAAATAATTTCAACGGTAGATTCAGTTTTCATACTAACAAACTAGAACAACATCAACAAAATATTATAATTTCTAAATTGTGTTCTGTAATCTAAATAAAATACAGTATCAGTGAGATTATTTAAATTATGAAACAAATTACATAGGTACACATTTTTCAAACGTACCTTTGGCGCGTTTAGAGTAAAGACGTTACTCCATGGCTTGTAGTAGCTGCACGTATAAAGCTACTTTTTCTTAAATTATTTATTAAATTGTGATTACGTAGTGAAAATATAACACAGCCTATCAAATATACGCTTACATATCAAACAAAACGGAACCAAGGCTCCAAAGTCTTTGCCAGAGATCTGTCTGCCAGAAAGCGCCAACTGTCAAAGCTGAAGACAGAATGTGGCAGCATCGTTTCCGGGGCACCTGAGATTTTGAGTGAGATTGAGAGGTTCTATGGGCAGCTGTACACGTCATCGTTGGAGCCGCACGCAAGTGTGAGTAACGATCCAAGAGCGAGTCTTATCCGACATTATTCCGATGATATCCCGGACGTCAGTCTGAGCGAGATTAGAATGGCTCTCCAGCACCTTAAAAACGGCAAGGCCCCAGGCGAGGATGGAATTACAGCGGAGCTTCTGAAAGCGGGTGGAAAACCGGTACTTGAAGTCCTTCAGAAGCTCTTTAATTCCGTCCTCCATGGTGGCATTACACCGGAGGCGTGGAGCAGAAGTGCGGTGGTCTTGTTCTTCAAGAAAGGCGACAACGCTCTATTGAAGAACTACAGACCAATTTCCCTTCTGAGCCGCGTCTACGTGCTGTTTTCGAGAGTCATTACGAACCGTCTCGCGCGCAGACTTGACGACTTCCAGCCTCCCGAACAAGCCGGTTTCCGAAAAGGCTTTAGCACCATAGACCACATACATACCCTTCGGCAAATTGTACAGAAGTCCGAGGAGTACAATTTGCCACTATGTCTGGCGTATGTGGACTATGAGAAAGCCTTTGATTCCGTCGAAATTTGGGCGGTGCTGCAGTCCCTTCAGCGATGCCAAGTTGACTGTCGGTATATCGAAGTGTTGAAGTGCTTGTACAGTAGGGCTACGATGGCTATCCGAGTACAGAACCAGAGTACGAAACCTATCCAATTGCAGAGAGGTGTAAGACAGGGTGACGTCATATCCCCGAAACTCTTTACCGCTGCATTGGAAGATGTTTTCAAGCTTCTGGACTGGAAAGGATACGGTATCAACATCAATGGCGAGTACATCACTCACCTTCGATTTGCCGACGATATAGTACTTATGGCAGAATCGCTGGAGGACCTAAGCACTATGCTCAATGACCTCAATAGTGTTTCCCAACGGATAGGTCTTAAGATGAACATGGACAAAACAAAGATCATGTTTAATGTCCATGTCACACCTATGCCGGTAGTTGTTGGGAACACTAAGCTCGAAGTTGTTGACGAGTATGTTTACCTGGGACAAATAGTCCGACTAGGTAAGTCCAACTTCGACCGAGAGGTCAATCGACGGATTCAACTCGGTTGGGCAGCGTTCGGGAAATCTTCTCGTCAGGTATACCTCAAAACTTGAAAACGAGACTGTACACCCAGTGCGTGTTGCCAGTGATGACATACGGAACTGAGACGTGGTCCTTCACTGCTGGCCGGATGAGGAAGCTCAAGGTCGCTCAGCGAGCTATGGAGAGGGCTATGCTCGGAGTTTCTCTGCGTGATAAACTCAGAAATGAGGATATCCGCAGTAGAACTAGAGTGACCGACATAGCCCAACGGATTAGTAAGCTCAAGTGGCAATGGGCCGGCCATATAGCTCGAAGAACCGACAACCGATGGGGAAGAAAGGTTCTCGAGTGGCAGCCTCGTACCGGCAGGCGAAGTGTAGGGCGTCCCCCCACTAGATGGAGTGACGACCTGGTAAGATATGCAGGAAGTCGATGGATGCAGGTGGCTCAGGACCGTGCTTTGTGGCATTCTTTGGGGGAGGCCTATGTTCAGCAGTGGACTTGTGAAGGGCTGTAATGATGATGATGATGATGATATCAAACATAAACGCAAACTAATGTACGTGCATTCTATGGCATTGTTGTGACGTAGAAATGAGTATGACCATCTCCTATTATTTATTTCTACATTTGAAATAGAACGTGACTCGTAAATTAACATTGTAATTCCTTCTTCATGCTCTATTGTAAGCGTGCGTCCATAACATGTTGTCTCTAGTGGTGAGATTTAGAAAGCTCGTACAGTTCGTGAGGTCGCGCGAAATTTTAAAACAATGTTAAAGTTAATAACTTCAGAGTTCATAAGTAGTTCAACTTATTATTTTATATTCATTACCGACTAAAAATATTCACTGCTGATAGCCCCCCCCCCCCCTATAGTTTACTCCCCATATATTTAAGCCATAGTTTTCAGCGGGCGGATCGGCAAACGCAGGTTTTTTTTTTTAAATTTTCAGTTGATATCAGGAAAATGCTGCTGATCATATTCTGTTTCAGTTTACCTCTGCCACCTGTTACGACACCCACGGGACGATGTAGGGTAGTGGATATTTTCTTACACCGCCACTACACATTTAATTATATTGATATATATTGTTTGTGTTTTTAGTATATATTTGTACTTAAGCTGTATTGTAGTTGCAGTACAAATTAGTAGGCTAGTACCGGAGAAGAATCACGATCTCAAAGTAGCGTAAAATAGCAGGATTATGCTGCTGTATACGTATAGTGATTGATGAAAACCGGAAGCCCTATTACTGCAACAACGCAATCAATTTTAGTACTTACATATCATCTGGTGGACCGTGTGCTCGTTTGTCACTCATCTTTATATATAAAATTACGTGTCAAATTGTTTTTCCACGATGAACTCCTACACTACCTACTCATTTTGCACACTTTGCGCAGTTTGGTCCAAATTGAGAGATAGTATAGTTTTTATCCCGATAAGTGAACCTCAATATTTTTTTATTACGAAATTAAGGATTTTTTTATAGGAACGGTCGCCGGAAAGAACAGAACAACGTCTGCTGGATATCTAGTATTTGTATAAAAAAACTTCATTCGCAAGCGTTTCGCCAAAAAAATTCCTTTTAGTAACCAGGATCTTATAAACTGTCGTTACGAAAAAATTACAAAGTAGAAAACACTGGCCACGATGTGCAGCCATTTAAAAAATGTAGTTCAGTTTCCATTCAACTTGTATCATGTATCACCTGTGTTAATATTTATTTCGTTGTTAATACGAAGAAGTAAA